AATGGCCTGGTTTTTTTTTAAAAGTAACACCTAAAATTAAACTTATGGCAGTGAATTAGATAAGGGACAGTGCCACTAGCAGTAAAAACAGTAAAACATTTGGTAGGAAAATCTATACAAAAGTCCTTCTCAAATTAAAATAAGACAAACAAGTCTCTGCTCGGAACACTAGCTATGAGTGAGAAAGAGAATGGCCAAACTGGAATTGAGTCTAATCGGATTCTGTTTGCTTGCCTCCATTTACTGGAAGAGGGAAACACTTTGGGGAGGAAGTGGCAGGCTCGACACTCTGCAAGAGTGGCTCTGCCCCACCCTCACTAAATATGGCAGACAAAGTAACACGGTGACTACTCAGAGATGCGCTAGTTACCTAACTGAAGGCAATATATGCACTGTAAAGAGTGCCAATGGTTGCTTGGTTTTGAAGGCAGGATTGATGCGTTCCTTTTGGAGGAAGGGCTGATGACAAGAAAGAAGGCTGTATGATTGATGGTTGCACAGTTATAGACATTGAGCACAAGCAAGATGGCTTAATTGAATTGTGTCAATATTTTTATTTGATTGACTCGGTATTAGAATGGAACATATCTTTACCATGCCTCCCATCTTTTGAGGCCAGTTTAGGTTGAAAAAATGCCATGGGGGAGGGAGGTTAAACTGCCGGTCCCAGAGAATTGCTTCTACACTTAAACCCAGAGCCCCTTCATGTTAACAAGGACAAGGAAAATATCAGGAAATCTCATCACAGATTTCATATTGCATGGAACTCAGCCATTAGTCCCACCACCTTTTCCTAGTATTTTTAATTTTAAGTTTTTTATTATTGCCAGCTCCAAAACTGATTATCCTCTCTAACTTGTTTTTAAAAAAATCTGTGGACAGTTCTATCATACACATCAGGAAGTTCTTGAATTTGAAAATTACTTGGTGGAGAGGTGAAAATACTACCAATAATTAAACAAGGGAATTACAATATATTGTTCGTTTTTCAGCATCCAGAATTATATTGAGTGCCATAATGGAAAAAGTTACCATATTTTTCGCACCATAAGACACACTTTTCCCTCACAAAACAGGGGGGTGGAAAGTCTGTGCGTCTTATGGAGCGAAGAAAACAGATTATATTTTCCTGTTTTCTTCTCCTAAAAAATTGGTGGTCTTATGGAAAGGTGTGTCTTATGGAGCGAAAAATGTGGTAATTCTGAGCCTAACCACGAAGTCACTCCTCACCCCTGCCCTCAAAGTGAAGGCGTATAATCTGATCAAGACTGGAGTCAAAGTTCGTACATCATGAGCTGAGCTGTGTCTAGAGGTTCCCCAGTTCTGTGTGAGCGACTCAACTGGTATAAAGAGGAACAGCACCGCCTGCTTCTTGTTTTTTTTTCCCCCTTTGGAAGGATGGTGTGGATTTGGGACAAATTGCAGTTCTATGCATAAGACACGTCCATAAATTGAATTAGCACCTGAGCAGAGTTATGCCAAATAGCTCTGTTCCTGACATTATATATGCAACCTTTCAGTACCCTCTGATGTTGATATATGCAGCACAGATGTCTGCATGTACAGCTGATTGCATGGCGTCATCAACACAATCCATGATCCTGATCATGCAGAATTCTAGACCATTCACATGTACTTATTCATGCACCTGTTCATGAAGTGTTTATATCTTCCTCCTTCCAGGCATTTGTCTTGTTCACATGAATGTCGGAGGGTAAAGAAAGCTACTATGCATGTAGAGCAAGGGTCTCAAACTCATTTACCTGTGGGCCACTGGAGGCAGAGTCTGGGTAAGGCTGGGCCGCATCAGATTTTCCGCCAAGTGGAGCAAGAGCCCGAGTAAGCCACCCAGGAGTTTCCTTAGCCTGGCTGGGGTTCCGAGGAGGAGGGGTGCAAGCCCTCATCGCTGGCCACGACCCCCTCCGGCTCCTTCTTCGCTACCACCACCAGCAGCAGCAGGACAAAGAAGTGGAGAGGCGAGGGAGCACTGGTGACTGCCTAGCGGGAGGGGGAGGGCACGACATAAAATAAGGCGAATCCAGGCAGCCTCCAGAGCCGAGGCGGCTGAAGCAGGGCGAAGAGGAGGAGGAGGAAACACCACTGGGTGCTGAGGTGGCCGCTGGCCGGGCTGGTGCTGGGGATGGTGAGAGAGAAAGAGAGCCAAAGAGCTGTTTCCCTGGAAGAGGTGGTGATGGCGGTAGCTGCTGTTGGTGGTGCTCTTCGAGGACGGGCTGGGAGCAAGCTTCACTTTCAGGCATCGTGCGGCGGTGCCTCGGGCGCTTGGGGAAAAGGGCTGACAGTACGCCTCGCTCGCTGGCTCTCTCCCAAGACAGCGCATCTTGCATCCTCCATCCAGAACTGCAGCCTGGCAGACAGGCTGGCTGGCTGGCAGCCTGCAGTTCCAGATGAAGGATGCAAGAGGCGCTGTTTTGGGAGAGAGCCGGCGAGCAAGGTGAGGCTTTTTTTTGACTCCTGACAGCAGAGGATGCATGGGCGCTTCGGGGGGAGAGGCAAGGCGGGGGCTGCAAACTATCATCCGGCGGGCCACAAATGGCCCCCGGGCCGCATGTTTGAGACCTCTGATGTAGAGTTTAAAGTTTGCCTTTGGTTCCACCTTGTTTGTGTGTTAGTCTAACATCTGAACATTTCTTGCAAACACAAGGACAACCAGATGCTCAAAAGTTATAAGGAAAGTGTCAACGGAACACATTTTACCTTGCGGCCCGCCAGAACCTGGAGCTTGCCACAAAGCCCAGATAAAATTCACATAATCAGCCTTGACAGTTATAGTTCTTTAAAGAAATCTGTCTTGTACTCTGTGTTGTGGGAAACCTTGATAAAAATGCCATGCTATGCTTCGGGATCCAATAAAAGTATAATCAGGATTCTTTCACCTCCATTCTGCTTCAGACTCCTGTGCTATCAAAAATAGGAGCCAGCGAGTGTCCCAGTCCTCAAAGCAAGTTTTCAGAAGGCACAGAGAGTTGGAGGAAGGGAGATCACCATTTGTCATAGAAGGAGTACAATGCAGGGGAAATACCCGATCAACCTTAGCCATGGATTTTCAGCAAGGCTGCAGCAGCATGTAGCTGGTGGACAGGTGGGGGGTATTTGTTCGCTTTAGAAAACAAGCTGTATATTTCTGTACTGTTCTTGTTTCTGTGCAGTAGTCCAAAATATATTTTGCCCCCAAAACTGACAATTTCATGAGCAGTTATGCTCCATAATAATGTTTGCATTTTTCTAGCAGCAAGGAATTTACTGATCATTCTTGCTCAAATATATATTTGGGAAATTAAAAAAGAAATTTAATTTTATTTTAACAACAACTTTAAAATCAGAACAAAGTAATGCTCAAGGTTTTGCAACAAATGCTTCAGCCATATGTGGAGCAAGAAATATCTGATGTTCAAACTGGATTCTGAAAAAAGAAGAGGGACTAAAGATCATCTTTATTTATTTTTTTTATTTATTTATTGTATTTATACCCCGCCTATCTAGTCATTTCGACCACTCATGCAAATATCCACTGGCGACTGGAGTGCAACAATGGATTTCAAAAAAAGATCAGTCTGTGATTTATAGGCATAAAACCTTTGACAGTGTGGATAAGGAGAAGTTATGGATTGTTATGAAAGGCATGAGTGTTCCTCAGCACTTGATTGTCCCGATATGTACACAATGTGCATAAAAACCCACTGTTAGGACACAGTGGGTTGAAGAAACAAAATGGTTTCTGATAAGCAAGGTCTTAAAAAAGGTTTTGTTTTATCTCCATATCTGTTTATAAGTAGAACATATGACGTAGAAAGATGGATTAGACTCAGACGGTAGTGGAATGAAAAATGGTGGAGGAAACATCAATAGTTTAAGGTATGCAGATGAGACCATGTTACTGGTAGAAAGCAGCTGTGACATGATGCTACTTCAAATGAAGGTGTAAGAAAATAGTGCAGGACTGCAGTTAAATATTAAGCAATGAAAATCATGATGGCAGAACTACATGTAATTTTAATGTTTAAAATAGCAGATTTTGAATAGCTTGTCTTAGTTATCAATCCAGATGGAGACTGTAGCCAAGAAATTAGAAGACGGCTGAGATTTGAAAGGGCCTCTTTGAAGGACCTAAAAGATCTCAAGTGAAAGGACAGGTCAGGCCTTACTAATTGTGTGCAATGGCAAATGGCCATGCTAACTTCTTAGCCTGTGGTAGTTCAGCTGAGATTTTGCCATATGTATTAATCTGGTGAGTATAACTAATATGATTTTGGCTGTAGTGGGATAAGAAACCCTTCTTCCCACTCAAGACACAGGAAATGGAATTGAATTTTTGTGTAATATAGTTGTGTAATATAGCTGCCATATAGTGTTCCCAAAAGTAATTTAGCCATATTTATTGCTAACTTCTGAGAACTTCATCTCTGTAGTTCAAACTGCCACAAGCATTTCCAAGAGCATGCATCTAGCATAGCTTCTCCTTCCTTATATTACATGGCATTCAAGGAAGTGGATCACTCTGTCTTGCCTAACCAATGGAAGGGAGTGATAGTGAATAAACCTGATGTAAGTACAGATCTCAAGCTACAATTTATCCAGCCCCCCCAATCAGATTTAGAATAGATTGGGCACCACAATGCCCATCAGGATGCTGTCTCCAGCCCTTGGGGCCTCTGCTGTAGGATTTCCACAGGGGTTGACCATCTCCCCAATGCTTGTTAACATCTACATGAAGCCACTAAGCGAGGTCATGCAGAGATTTGGGGTTCTCTGTCACTAGCACACTTTTAAGAGGCAGCTGGAGCCTCTTAAACTGACTCTTCATTGATGCCTTTGGCAACTTTTGATCAATTTTTTTCTTGCCGTATGCCAACAGTCTTGTTATGTACAGTATTACTGGAATAGTGCCTAGCACTGGGGTGGTATATAATTAAAATAAAATAATAAATGCATGAATAAATATCCTGATGACGCAGCTGTATCTCTCCTTCCTTCACCTGCAGGTGATGCTGTACAGGTCTTTGAGCACTGCCTAGCATGGAAGAAATCAAGATAAGATGAAGATTCTGTTGTTAAGAGTATCATTGGACCAGTTAGAGGGGAACTTACCTAGCCTTGATGAGGCTACACTCCCTGTGAAGGATTGTGTCCTTAGCTTGGGATACTCACGGACCCAGCACTCTCTGTGGAGGCTCAACTATCGACCATGGCCAGGAATACCTTTTATCGACTCCAGTGGTTGTCCACTTGTGCCCCTACCTGGATAAGAAATGCTTAGTAACAGTTTTTTGTGCATTAGTAATCTCCAAAGTAGACTACTGTGGTGCTCGCTATGTACGGCTGCCCTTGAAAACAGAATGGAAACTTCAGCATGAGAAGGAACTAACTACGGCCCTCAGAAAGTACAGTGAGCCATCTCGATCATCTGCTACACATTGCTCCCAATGATGGCTCATTTAGGATTACAGGAACAAAAGAGTGGGAAAGGCAAAGAGGAGAAGAACAGGAAAGTAACAGCTGAGACAAATTCCCCAATAGCTGAAGGATACATGATGGAGGTAGAGGAAAGGATAAAAGGGGAATGATTGAGGGAAAAAAAGGTAGAGCAGACAGAGCAAGAAAAAGAGATAGAATAAGAAAATATTGATAGGATGGGGATGACTGGAGACGGAGGACCCCGGACTAGGGAAAGGGTCAAGATGAAGCTACCCTGTGAAGAGATAGAGCAGAGACAGTAGTATCGCCTGGTTAGCCAGCCAGCCAGACCCCAAAAGGGCTAAAATGGAATCCCAGAGAAGAGAGAAAGAAGGGGCTGAGCCTATAGAATGGACCATTTATATGTACCCCAAAAAGGGAGACCTTTGGAAGAAGGAAATGTGGCTGGTACTGGTCAGCCAACCCACTGAAAGGGAATGGGCACAACAGCCATGTTGTGGGACTATTTCCCCCAGGCTACAGAACCCGATGTGGAAACTGATGGATTGTGGGTAATTTGGGGTGAACCCACAATGGTGAACTCTTGTGTCACACTGGAGTTGAAAGACTGTTGGCCTAGAAAAGCCCTGTTGGATGGTCCTGCTGGACTTACTGAGGTTATTGTTCATGATGCTTTGTTGTTGTTAATAAATTGTTTGTGCACCAAAATTAATCTTTGCCACTTCTGGAGGTTAAAACCAAGGAACCGCAGGAGGTTAACGCAGAACCCACTCACATTCAGCAGGCCCAAAATATGGCAGCCAGACTGATTTCAGGGACTAGTAAATTCAATCATACGTCCCCAATATGGGTACACCTTCATGGGCTTCATGTCAGTTCTCATGCTCAATTCAAGGTGCTCTTTATGACCTATTAAGCCTTTAATGGTTTAGGACCTTGATACTTGTTCAAACATTTTCTTTCAGAAATCAAATTATCGTTTCACTTGCACCTATCTGTTGCTAAAAGTGGCCAGACTGAGGGAGGCCAAAAAGGCAACAAGGAATTGGGTCTTTTTATTGGTGGCCCCCATATTTCTTGCATTGCCAGCAAGAAAAAAGGGTACCAAGCTTTATATAGTAAAGGGCAGCCTGAATGTTGACAACATCAATGGCAGTAGTCAAGATGGTGCACTCTTCTGCTCACTACCATTCAGAAGGGACATCATGCAAGGAAAAATCCTAGAAGCTGGCTCCTTTCATCAGTTAACCATTTCTCACCCAAATACAGAGCAATTTTCAAGGTTGTTTTTTCAACAAGTGTGAATTATAGCAAGCATAGAGCAAGAGAAGACTTTTTGCTACATCCACTCCAAGTTTGGTGCTGATCTGAGGTCCAGTTTCATAGTTATAATTTCTTGTTTCAGGCTGAATCCTGATGTCAGCACAATATATTGGTGGCCTCTCAATCACCAATAACCTCAAATATGGGCATCATTCTAAGCTGTCTTTAGGTGGATTGTTTATCCACTTGCATGAGAAGCCACATGGAAGCAAATAGGCTGAAATCTGGTTTAATAATAGTAATACAGTGTGCTATCAAGTTAATTCCAACGTACAGCAACCCATTCCAGGGTTTTCTAGATATAGAATACACAGAAGTGGTTTATTGTTCTCTTCTGAAGGCATCCTGGCATTGTGCAGCTTGCCTGAGGCCACATAGGCTGGCTTTTCTTCCAGGAGGCATAACGGAGAATCAAACTCTCAACCTGTAGCTTCACAGCCAGATACATTATCTAAACCACTGAGAAACCAAAATATTGGCTTATTTTTATTTGTGAACATAAGCCAATGGGCAGAATCTAATGCATTTTATATTTATTCCACTAAAATATCATAGATTTCCAGTTACTGTTTTTATGTCTGTATAATATGTGAAGCCATACCCTTTTAAAGAAACTACATAGTTTCACTAAAATTATTACAGCTCTTTTTTTTTAATCTTCCTGGATGAAATAAAAAGATTCAGGGCATTTTTGTATGTGCAGTCAGTGTTCAGAAATACTTTTCAGGTGGAGGCTGGGGGGGGGGAGCCAGCTATCTTGTGAACAATGCAACTATTACACAGTTCCAGCTCTGAGTTCCATTTTGTTATCTTCCACATCAGATCTTCCCAGACTGACAATAATCCAATGAATTAAACTAATCATGAATTCAAGCTCCAGTTTTAGGGTAGTATGCTTATTTAGTTATGACAAGAAGAATACACGTCAGTGAAGAATCATTGTAGCTAAAATAGAAGAGGAATTAAAAGTTTTGTAACTGCCTATCTCAGCAGTTACTATTAGAAATACAATAGGCTTTCATTGACTAGTCTTTTGTTAAGAATTTTCTGGTAATGAACTATGGAACTATCATGCTATATTACAATGGAAATCAAGCACTAGGAGGAAAAGGAATACTAATGAAATAAGTCACAGTAGGGGAGAACTGTTTAATTACAATAAAAACAAAAACATGGGCTGTGAAAGTGAATCAACACATAGCATGCTTTCTCCGTTTAGGTCTGGCACATTTCTACCCTAGGAGCCAAATTCAGTTGCTAATCCCAATATGAGTAGAACCACTGGATGACAAGAATTTACAGAAGTATTGATGTAACTCCCATTCATTTAATGGCACTAACAAATGAATTTAGCCTGTACGTTCCAGTGTACTACAGTAAGACCAGATAAATTAGAAAAATTCATCAAACATTCAAAAATGTTGCAGTGTCAGACAAACTAGAATGATTGTTTATAAAACAATTGTCACAATGGGTGAAGGCCAGTTTCACTTATGCTTGTGTATCAGGACTTTTCTCCCTCTCCACTCTTCTTCTGATTGAAGCCTTTACATCCGCAAAAGGAGGTAACTGGATAGCCTTCAAGTGGAACAAAATCATAAATGTATAAAAGGTACATCATAAATGAAAAACGTTATGATTGAATCTGTAAATAGGAAAACATGAGATACATGAAAATAAAATTTAACAGGTTTAAGAGTCATAGAGTTGGAAGAGATCAGAGGCCATCCAGTCCAACCCCCCACATGCACGAACATCCATTAAAGTACTCCCAATAGATGGCCATCCAGCCTCTGCTTAAAAACCTCCAAAGAAGGAGACTCCACCACCCTTTGAGGCAGCCTATTCCACTGCCAGACCGCTCTGACCATCAGGAAGCTCTTCCTAATGTTCCGATGGAATCTTTTCCTGTAGTTTGAAACCATTGCTCCATGTCCTAGTCACTGGAGCCTTGGAAACAAACCTGTCCCTCTTCAACATGACATCCTTCAAATATTTAAACATGGCTATCATGTCCCCTCTCGACCTTCTTTTTGTAAGTCTAAACATTCCCAACTCCCTAAGCCACTCCTCGTAGGACACTGCTTCCAGACCTTTAACCATTTTAGTTGCCCTCCTCTGGACATGTTCCAGCTTGTCAACATCCTTTTTGATTGGAGGTGCCCAGAACTGGACACAATACTCCAGGTGAGGTCTGAGCACAAAGCAGAGTCAAAAAGGATAGTGTTGCAATCCTAAACTTAAAATAATAAATTGGAAGTTGGGGTTGATTTTGGAGTGACAAGACTAATAGGAAAAAAGATGGCTTAATTGAAATCAGTATGGCTTAGTTCACCAGGATTTAACTTAACTTGAATGAGATTTAAACCCATACACTCCATTTGCCTGTTACTCTGATTCCTTCCCTATTATAGTTTGGTTTTATATCCAAACCAGAACTTGGGTTACATTTACTCCATAAACCAGAACTGCAGACCGTAACAGTGGTTTGCAGTTTTAGTTGAGAGGAAACATAGTTTATTAGATAAATATATCAGCAAATGAGCACATGTCATGAAAGTATAGGATCTGTTTCCTACTTCTCATGGAGGATGAACAAAATGCAGCGCTCCAGACATTGTTAGGTTTAGCCACTACAGCCAATGGTAAGGAACGTGGTGACTTGCAATCCAGAGCATCTGAAAGGCCACTCATTGCTCATCCTTGCTCTAGTGGAATAAACTGCAGATCTAAGAAGATCCTACACACACACACACACACACACACACACACACACACACACTCACTCACTCACTCACTCACTCACTCACTCACTCACTCACTCACTCACTCACTCACTCACTCACTCACTCACTCACTCTGTATATTTTTGGATTTCTATCCCACCCATCTAGACCAAAGGTCTACTCTGGGCGGTTTACATTATGTTGACTGAATTCCATTTGTATGTCCTAATGTTTGATTATTTCCAGCTTGTTGCTGTTTATAAATGTCATGTACAATAACTCATAAAACATACACAGAAGAATTATTTATTTAGTCACTTAATTTGCATGTCATATTAGTTCTTTCTTTAAATAGTTGGAAATAATATATCATCAAACCACCTGAAGTCTGTTCACAACTTTTCTCAATAATAAAGTCAATTTCACTCTTGAATTACACAATTTCTCAACAGGTCCACTGAGTCAGTGTAGATTTGGTGAGTCAATATCAATGTAAGTCCCATTGAATCACCTGGCCTATTCTAGTTGTGATGACTGGATTTCAGAAGTTATTTGTAAAAGTGGTAGAGGAAGGATGTCAACCCCAAACTAAATGAGCTAGAACCCTGGAAGGAAAAAAATACAGTATTGAGAGTAGTAGGCACAATAATGCACTCTTGTACTAACTTCCATCTCAGTAAACTGAGCATGTGAGTAAATGTCTACTCACACTGGATTAGGATCATTAAACACAACAGATATCGGGTTCTCCTATAATCAGATCAGTTGGAATGAACTAGGACACTGGTTCTTAACCTTGGGTTACTCAGGAGTTTTGGACTGCAACTCCCAGAAGCCTTCACCACCAACTGTGCTGGCTGGGGTTTCTGGGAGTTGCAGTTCAAAAACATCCGAGTAACAAAGGTTAAGAACCACTGAACTAAGACAGCACTGTATACCTCTTTTATTTTATCTATTTCACACCACTAACGATACATGATGTAAGCATTGCTTGTGCAACAGTACTGATACATATCATCATTGATGGCAGATTGTCACAATTTAAAAGAGCACCTGTTTTGATTTCTTCACTGCCTAGCTTTCACAACCAAACATAGTAAGCAGGAGTACACTACTGTGGATTATCTTGTCCTTGGTCTCCACTGTCATGTCTTTACACTTAAGGATCTTTTTTAACTCCTTCATTGATGCCCTTATAAGATGCAGAACCCTTCTGTTCTTTGCGGACCGTAACATTTGTTGTATTTTTGTGGTGGGCTTGAATACTGTTTGTAGGTTGTGTTTTTTCAAAAGTTTCCCCATGCGGTCTATGACCCCTCACCACTGCAGGAGTATACCGGATACCTTGCAGTTGTGGCCAGGTATATATCGGAACATGAAATGAAGCATCCACACCAGAATCAAAGAACATAAGAGACACTGTAGACTAAAACAACCAGAAAAATATGCAGTAGCTGAACATGCCCTAAAACAAGCTGGACATGAAATTCTATTTCAAAATACTAAAATACTGAACAACACCAGTAATCACTACATTAGACTGCACAAGGAAGCTATTGAAATCCACAAACATCAGCAGAGCTTCAACAAAAAAGAAGAAAGTTTAAAACTCTACAAAGCTTGGCTCCCAGCGCTGAAAAATACAGCCTGCAGAAGGTCAACGAACTCTACCCAGCCACAAGGACCAGTGATCAATA